ATTCCTAGTTGCCTCCCTTTGAGGCTGAGTCTCATGTAGCTCAGGCTAGCCTCAAAGTTGCTGTGCAGCCAAGGAAGACGATCTTGAACTCCTGATCTTCCTCAGTGCTGGGATTACAGTGTGCATGGCCACACCTTGTTTATGAGGTAGTAGGAACACTGAACTCAGGCTTCATGTATGCTGAGCAACACTGAACTCAGGCTTCATGTATGCTGAGCAACACAACTAATCAAGCCATATCCCAGGCCTATATTTGTTGCCAAGTGCCAAATGTACTTCCCTTAACATATATCTTCCCAGCCGGGCGTTGGTGGCACACGCCTTTAATCCCAGCACTTGGGAGGCAGAGGCAGGCGGATCTCTGTGAGTTCGAGGCCAGCCTGGTCTACAAGAGCTAGTTCCAGGACAGCCTCCAAAGCCACAGAGAAACCCTGTCTCGAAAAACCAAAAAAAAAAAAAAAAACATGTATCTTCCCTTCCTCTCCTGTGTCTTCCCCACCCCTGGCCTTCAGCCTGTCTCTGTCTACTCTGGTAGTGTGAAGCCTGAAAAACCTAGAAAAAGCCAGCAGCCCTCACGCCTGGTGGCAGAGGGGAGGGGGTTTGCCCCAGCTTTTTGTCCCCTTCCTGGACATTTCTTTGTTCTCTGTGTTTGTCTCTCTGCCACCAGAGTTAGCAGGATTGGCTAGCTTGGATGAGCCTGGGCTGGCCCTTGCTTCCCCTGAAGCCTGACTGTTGATCAATAGGGGAAGGCATAAGGAAGACCCCTCCGTTCCTACAGTGACTGGTTCCTCTTAGTCGCTGGGATCTCTCTGCTCCATTTCCCCTGTGTCTGGGTCATGACTTCTGTGTTGGCTGCAGGTGGAGGGAGGAAACCAAGAAGCTTGCCCTTGGCTGAGGACAAGGATCTGCATGACGTCTTCTTTGACCTTGAGAATGCTTCTGCTTGCCCTGCCTGGCAGGAGACGAGCTGGAACTTTCCCCTCTGGCACTGTCTGTCCGAAGGCAGCTTCCAGACATCTCTCAGGCACTCTGTCTTCTCTTAATGAGTCAAATTCCCATCTGGGGCCTGGGGGACGGGGTGAATGGGAGACAGTGATGAGGGTGCCAGCACTTACCTTCAGGGGGCTGAAGTACTAAGAGGAAGGATGCCTGTTTGGGCTACTGGCCTGAGTCCATGTACCCCTGGCACCGCTGTCAAGTTCAATACAGGGCATATTCCAGCATCTTTTACTCTTGTTTCTCCCTTAACTGGGGACAGCATTTCTCTCCTGTTCAGACTCAAACGCTCTGGCTTCTCTGTCACTCCAATTGCTGTGTGATCATTGGGGATTTACTTTGTTTCTCTGGACCTCAGGGTGTGACGATATTGGCTAATCTAACAGTTCTGCTGCCTGCTGTAGCATTTAATGAGGACAATGGCTGGTTTGCTCGACTCTGGTCACTTACACACCTTGCTTCCCTTTTCCTCTAGGAACGAAGGAGCCGGTATGTGTCTTATTCTCTCTGTTGTTGTTTGAGACAGTCTTGTACAGCCTGGGCTGGCCTCGAATTTGCCATGTACCTGAGTGTTATCTCTAATTTCCGATTCTCTGGTCTCTACCCCTGTAATCTGCTAGAATTACAGGTGTGGCCCTACTGCTTGGTACCTGACAGTCAAGGATTTCTAATTGGGCTACGCCTCCAGACACTCTCCCCAAAGAAACAAAAAGGATGTAATAAAAATTACCACTGCTGTGGCTAGGCATGGTGGTGCACGCTTTTAATCCTGGCACTTGGGAGGCAGAGGCAGACAGTTATCTGAGTTCAAGACCCATCTGGTGTACATAGGAGCGAATTCGGGGCCAGCTAGGGTGATGTAGTGAAACCCTGTCTCAAATAAACCAACAAGAAAGCAAGTCTGGCACTGTGAGTGTTTCATGGTTGGTTCCTTTCCTCCCTCCCGGGTTGCTCTCCTGCAGACATTCAGGGTTCACGATGACTGGAAGGCACACGGCTTCTCCTTTCTGCTAAGCAGTGGGAAGCAAGGGAAACATTCAGACCACACAGTTGCCAGGCCCTCTTTCCAGTCTGTCACCACCCATTTCCTCCCAAGACGGAAGCTGCCTCTTCTTGCCTATGTCCCTGCATTGGCAAGAAGCGCACAGTGTGTCACTGGAGAGGACCCAGGGCCCACACCTGGGCTGGCCCTCTTCTGGAACTGAACCGCATGCCTAGCAGCAGAATAGCTATTACTGAGCCCTCCAGGCCGATTGCGTCCCCATGCCTCCTCTTGTAGAGGCTGGAAAGCTTTTGGAGAAGCACCTCCTGGGCACAGGATGTGACTGCCCAGCCAGGAGGGAGGGCCTCGCTGGCTCCCATGGTGCTTGGAGCTTCTCAGGGTCGTTTCTTTGCACCCCAAGTGTTTCAAAGAAGGAGGGGGTGGTGAGGTGGTTGAGGAAGGGATGAGAATGTGAGAAGAGAGAACCATCCTAGTTTCTATAGCAACCACACATGTGAGCCAGCTGTTGTTGCCTTGGAAACAAGGAGAGCCTGCTCAGAGCCCGAGCTGTCTCAGGGGAGACACAATTTTTGAAAGGAAGAAAAAACAAAAAACCAAAAAACAAAACAAAACAACAAAAAAACCCTAACAATAACAGAAACCCAAACCTTTGATAAAAATAAAGAAATAATAATAAAAGCCACTGTCTCTGGGTCTTGCTAGCGCTGGCTGCTGCGGCATGAGGTGACAAAGGAGAGGAGGGGAGGCTCGTTGAGGAGGAGGTGTGGGCCAGAGCATTTGCTGCAGTAGAGGGAGATTTGTTGAGTCAGTATTTCAGAGCTGGGTAGGTGGGGGGGGGAGCTTTGCGATCACCCCTGTTGATGGATGGGGGAGGGTGGGTGTGGGAGGGAGGGAGGGAGGCTGGAAGGGAGGTAGTGGCTCATGCCAGGCCCCAGGGCAGAAAGAAATGCATGCAGGGAAACTGGTATCCTTGGAAGGAGAGAGGGGCCAACCGGAGTCTCCTGCTTGGGGTCATGTCAGGGAAAAACTCATCAAGACCAGAGTTTCTGAAAGACAGGGCTTGGTACCCCATGGCAGGGCCCCACGGGACAGGTGAGCCGAGTAACCCAAGGGTCACTCTGGGCAGCTCTGTGTCTGGCGTCTTCATGTGTTTATTTTTGCTCACAAAATCCTTGCCCAAACATCATGGCAGATGTGCCTATCCTTTCTGCAAAGATGAGGACCAGGGCTCCCGAAAAGACTCCCAGTGCCCCCAGCCTCTGTGGAAGAGCCTGAAGATAATAACAAAGGGGAACTGGGGGTGGGGGCTGCCAGGCCCACGAGAGTGGAACTGATAAGGAAAGCTCAGGGACACGTTTGGGGGACCCGCTCTAGCTGCTTCTTTGTCCCGGAGCTCTTCTGTTTGCGTTTGGGGTTTCGTGAGGCTTCCACTGGAGCCCCAGAGGTGAGGGTGAGGAGCAGGAGGGACAACGCGGGTGGACGGATGGCTTCGCTCTGCCCTCGTCTTTCAGGAGCATTGTTTCCCCCGTCACTGCCCTTCTCCTCCTCATTTCCTCTTCCCCCAGCTTCTAAGGTGCAACCACGTGGCTGAGTTGCCATGGAAACTGTGGAGTTCCATTTGAAAGCACTGCTCAGTGTAATCTGAGATGGCTGGGGGGGTGGGGGTGGCTGGGGGGTGGGGGTGGCTGGAGGGGTGGGGGTGGCTGGGGGGGTGGGGATGGCTGGAGGGGCAGGGAGGGGGGCATCTACACCTTTTAAGTTCTCCCAGCGAGCCTCTTTCTAATAGAAACTGTCTGGACTCTCATGGATGCCCTTGGGTCCTTCAGTACGCCGTTCCTGTGGCCCCCGCCACAAAGCCCTTTGTAATCTCGGGAGGTAAATCTGGCAGGCCTGGCCCCTTAGAGAAGGAACAGTTACCTCCATTGCATAACTCAGGGTGTCTAAGGGGTGGGAGGGAATCTTGGGATTAATTGTGCAGAAAGGAAGTCACACCAGGGACTCAGAGCTCCCGAGGTGGCGGCCTGAAGCCCACACCCGCCTTCTTCCTCCACACTTTATCAGCCCTGCACAAATTCTGGCCATTGGCCAGGAACCCAGGCAGGCAAGGAGCTGAGACCCACAGGAGACTGGAAAACTGAGTCTGATTTACTGGGAGAGGTTAAGTTTGTGATGCCCTCAGTCAGAGCAGCCCTCCCACCCCTGACCCCTGGGTGGCAGCAGGCAGGTTTAGGACCTGTTTTTAGTCATGCCACATGACAGTGAGATCATGAGCAACCCTATCTGTAGCCCCTCCTGCCCTTCACCCTGCCTCCAAGGCTTCTTCCAAGGCCACATGAACTCCCAAGTGGAGTCCCAGGGCAAGAAACAGCTAGAACTGGGTGCAAAGATCTGCCTTCAACTTTCCACAATCACCATCCCTGCCACGGCTACCCCAAGTGACATCAGAGGTGTCAGAATTTTGCTACCACCAGGTGCTTGTGGCTCAGGCCTTTAATCCCAGCACTCAAGAGGCAGAGGCAGGCGGATCTCTGGGAGTTGGAGGCCAGCCTGGTCTACAGAGTGAGTTTCAGGGTAGCCAGAGCTACACAGAGAAACCCTGTCTTGAAAAACCAAAACTAACCCAAATCAAAGCAACCAAAAAGAATTCGTCACTTTGCTGTGTGACTAGGGTCAAGTTGCCTAGCTTTTCTGTGCCTCAACTGCTTCTCTCCTGAGATAGGAATAAGGGGAAAACTGCCCCCTAGAGTGTCTGGGGAATTCAAAGACAGTATATTCAAAGTGATGAGTATACCATCTGGTGGCAACTGAAAGCGTGTGATCACAGTTATTTCCAAGACTCCTAAGAAGTTCTCCTGGAGACTCCCCCTTTCCCGGGTGCCAAGAATGGTCCACACCTTTGTTCACTCATCTTCCTTTACCACAATCCCGTAAAGGCTGGCCCTTCCACGTCCCCATTTTACAGATGTGGATGCTGAGGAACAAGGGGTATTTAGCCCAGAGTTATTGGCTAAGAATATTCAGGGTCAAGATTCAAACTCAGTCGGCCGAGTTTTGTTTTGTGCAAGACATTGTGCTTCACCCACAGTGACAACCCCTTTCCTGGCCTTTAAGGATTTATTTACTTTTTGTTCTCTTCCAGCCTCCATTTCCCCACACTGGAAGGAGGAGGTCGAAGAGGTTGCAGGTAGTTCCTTCCCTAGAAGGCTAGAAGGCTGGAAGGCTAGGGAGTTTTGACCTGGTTTAACCCGGAATTCACACAGCAGGTGCTGGAGGTAAGTGATCCTGGCGCAGGAATCTCCGGAGGTGAGAAGGGGGCACTCCAGGTGGTCGTCAGGGTTGGCTGACTTTCCATTGAGCCTGACCTTGGTCTCTAGGCTCTAACCAACCAGGACTGGTGAGGACTTGATGCCTGGTCTTGGCCTGGTTTTGTTTATCTGGAGACTTCAGGCCTCTTCTCTAGGCGAGGGGAGAGAAGCGAGAGGAGAGGAGAGAGTAAGGGGTGGGTGGATGTGTGGGGGGAGAAACAGGAGGGGAAGAGGAGGAAGGAGGAAGCGGAGAAGGGAGCTAGGGGGAGAGACGGGGGTGGGGTGGGGTCTGGTGGGGTGGGGGGTGGAGGAGGACACCGAGGGAGGGAGGGAGGGAGAGGGAGGGAGGGAAGGAGAGGAGAGGGAGGGAGGGAGAGGGAGGGAAGGCAGCCAAGTGTGATTATGAGCTTTGAGAAGAAAGGATGAGAAAGCAAGAAATCTGCTTCACGGGAAGGATGGGGCGGGGTGAGTTTGACTGGAGAGCGAGCAGGAGGAGGGCGAGAGGAAGGAAGGGAGAGTGGCAGAGAACCAGGGTGAGAAAGGATGAGGAGAGGCCTTGAGGGGAGCCGTCAGAAAGAGACAAAGGCCAGACAGGGCAGCCGCACCTTCTCCTTCACCAATGGAATCAACAGGGCCAGCGCCGTCAGGACGCAGCCTTGGTGACCTCGACCAACAGCAGACAAGCCCCCTGTGGCTTTGCCGTTTCTATCGGGATGGGGTGGCTGGTGCACCACCTCCCCAAGGCCCCCCTTTGGATGGTTATCTCCCCTGCCCCGCCTCTCGCTTTTCTTGGCTGGTACCTGCCTTTAGATTTCTCTGTGACAGGTTTTTAAAAGCCATCCAAACAGGGAGTAGCCAAGTCTCTGTGGAGGAGAGGAGTGAGGGTGTGGATGCCTGTCCGCCAGAGGGGTCCCCCTCTTCCCATCTCCGAGGCCTGGCACCTTTGGGGACCAGCTTCCTCTGAGTAAAATGTATTGAGAGCTTAGCAGGGGTGGAGCACTTGGCTTTATCTCACTTAATCCTCACAGCGGCTCTAAGATGTCAGTGGGATTCCATTGTGTAGAGGGGAAATGAGAGCTAAGGAGGTTAGGTTATTTGTCCAAGCTTCCCTAGCTTGGAGGAGAAACACAGGCGTTTCTGACTCCCGTTATCCAGGGAGAAAGGTTGTGGTCCTCCTGATGTTCGAACCCAGGGCAGGGATGAGGTAAGAGAATCTGGGAATAGCTAGTGATCTGGTCTATCTGCTGGGTCTCAATTTTCTCATCCAATATCACCATAGCTACAGGAAGGTGTAGGATGAGGAGAGGCTGACCAAGGAAGCCAGGACACAGGTTAGCAAACAAAGAGGGCCATTGGTTTTCTTCCCAGCATCCCGCCAGAGTCTTTGGGATGGAAATGGATGGTAATAAGACTTCACTGGGTTTTTGACACCTTTATTCCAAAGTCTCTGTCTCTCTCTGTCTCTCTGTCTGTCTCTCTCTCTCTCTCTCACACACACACACACTCACACACACACACACACACACACACACGCCATTCTTATCTCTAGAACCATCTTAACACTGCACACGAAGCATGCCTGTCTTCATTGTATAGGGTTGGCGCTTTTCTGTCGGTGGAAGACCAAGGTCACATGGTGTTGCGTTCCAACAGGGAGGGCAGGTGCCACCTGGATACACAGGCAAAGAGGTGTCACTTTTGCCCTTGAGGCACCTTATGTGCACTCAGGAGAGTTGCAGTAGCTTGGCACCACCATGGTTAGGCTCTCAGGCCTCCCCTCCCTGAGTCAGCAATATCTCGGGGTGTTTCTGAAGACCCTGTAGGTGCCTGGCAGCCAGTCTGTGCCTTTCTGTAGTCCGCTTGTTTTCTGCCCCACCCCCCACCCCTGGGACCCTTCCGTCAGGGTTCTGATTAAAACATGGGAAAAGGCTTTCCTCTGCGCCTTTTCCACCCCTTGCCCAGATGGCAGCTCCCCTTCCCTAGGGACCAGTGATGCGGCAGCTTGGTAGCCATGGTGATGGCGCTCCTTTGGGTTTCCTCTGGATGGGGAAAGTGTGGCGTGTGCACACGCATGCCTATGCCCACTTCCAGTGTCAGGTGAGGAGGGCTCGTGGAGTGGAAGAGAAACCTTTCTCCCCACCCCACCCCCATGGTGGTTGCCTCCTCCCTGGTCAGTCTGGGCCAGCTCAGGGCTGTCCTAACAGCAGAGAGGACCAGAAGACAGACAGAGGGACACTGGGCAGAAGAAAGCTGTCCCAGAAGGAAAAGTGGAGGTGGGGGTGGAGATGGGGGTCGGTCCCCATGGTCCTGTTAGGATTAAGGCTGGGATATGGGAGGGAACAGGAGAAGGGAGCCAGGAGTCAGGACCTGTGCCTGAAGTCAAGGTTCCAGAGGATCTGAGGAGGAGGCAGGGAGGGGTGGGCTCCTTATTTCTGTTATCCCCAGGGTGGGTCTCCTGCTGCGCTTCCCCGGCCGAGAGAAGGCCCCTCTGCTCCTCCAACATGATCAGTAATTTCCGGCAGACATTTGAGGTCCCTGACATCTGCATAATGTGGGCCAGTCTCTTAGCAACGGGGAACAGCTGTCTGGCATTTCCAAGATTAAACTGTAACTTTACACGGTCCTTGCCAAGGGGAGGGGTGGGGGAAGGGGGTAAACACTGCCTCCTGGCATTTCCAAACTCATTTAGCTTTTATTCATTTCCTGCCTCCAGTAAAGAGGCCAGGGATTTGGACTGGGCTGGGCTGTTACTGCCCCTGCTGACGACAGCCTTCACCAGCAGAGAGGCTGATGGCTCTTCCTTGAGATCCGTTTGAGGGATAAGGGATGTCTCCAGCCCGTTGTTTTGTTTTTATTCTGTTTGTTTTTGTGGGTGCTATGGATCTGGCACACCGAGGGTAGGTGGAGTCTGAAAGGCAAAGGCTGCTGCCTGGACTTAATCCAAGTCGACTGTAGCCGGGTTTCTCTTCATCCAGCACCTGCGCTAGTGTCTGTGTGACGACCTTGGGCCCCATGCCTCCCCCCCTTCCCCCCTCCGCCTGCACCTTCATCTCTCCATCCCTAAGAGATGGTCCTGCCACCCCTGAGCAAGCCGTGAAGGTGAACTTGATGCTCTCGGGCAATGATGTCACGATGAGCCTTCCTTTCTGTGCCTCTGGCCACTGTCCCCTGCCATGTTAGCAACCTTGGGCGCAGCTATGGGGGTTGAGGCACAGAGTCTATTTCCCCGGCAGCCATCACCTTGAAGTCCTGTTCCCAGGAGCCCTGGGCAGTGACCCTTTGCCCTGATAGATGATGGAAGCAGAGCACAACACCCCCTCGCTGGGCCCTGGGCCGCTGGCAGGAGGTGTCCTCATTCCCTGGCCTGCTTGGGCCTGGCAGCCTCTGTGTCCAGCCTCTCTATGCTTGCCATTTGGCTCCGGCTCCAGAGCTAGTGAACACGGTGTTTTGGTTCTGCAGCAAGAAGGAAAAATAAAAGGGCGGGTGTGGGGCGGGACTGGAGGGGGAAGGAGAAGAGGAGGGGGGAAAGCCCTCTGGCCGCCAGTGCTGGCCAGTTCCAGGAATGTGTTCTCGGCCTCCAGTGCCAAAGCTGTGACCCAGGCGCAGCAGCCAGGCCAGGCTAGGCCTGGAGACCTTCCCGGGAGAAGGGAGAGGCCAGGCTAGTGGCTGAGCGACTCCTCCCCCACAGGCCCTCTGCTGACTCATCCCTGCTCCAGCTGGCAGAGCCTTTTCTGGGGATGGCTGTTGCTAAGAGTCCTGGGAGATGAATGATCGCTTCTCCCTCGAGCTTTGTGAAAACATGTTTGTAGACTGCACGCAAACACACACATCACTCCCATGGGCTTGCACGCCAGCCCAGGCCTTCGGCACACATGTGTCTGTGTGGCTGAATTCTGTGTGTACACACAGAGTGCCCAAACGTGTTTACCGTTCTCATCGCCTCCCCAGGGCTGGTTTGTTGATCTGTGAGTGTGCTCATTGTGTGTGGACCCCATTATGCCCGCCCCGCCCCAAAAGGGCTGAGTGAGGCCAGGCCTTCCTGGCAGTGGCCTCAGCTGCTGGTTCATGAGCCTGCTTTAATCTGAAGGCGTTTGGGGCTGTCTTGAGACATTCTTGGCCTCCGTCCCTCCTCCCCTCCCTAGGTTCCTCGTTTCCTTCATCCTGCTGCTATGATCTAATCCAGTCTCTTGAATGCTGCCAGGTTTTTTTTTTTTTTTTAAACGTCTGGTCTGGTGTTTCAAGGCCTCCCTGGGAGTTGAGTTGTTGGAGAGCTTTGCCTGGTCCCGACCTAATTTGCCAAGTGGGGTTCAGGGGAGCCCCAGGACCTCTGTTTCCCCAGAAGAGAGGGCACGGCTTCAAGGACTCGGGTGTGGAAAGTGCTGGGCTCCTCAGCTGACACCAGCTGGGAAATGTTTGTTGTTCCTCAGGGCTGGGCTGGGCCTGGTTCTGGGTCTGTCTGAGGCTCTTGTTTAGGGCAGCATTTGCAGTCACTGCAGCCCAGTTGTAAGTGTGTGAGCCCCGAGTCACCCTGGGCTCTGCCACCTTGACGTCATCACCTGTTGAGGGTGGACTGCTTTTTGAATCCTCCAGGGTTTTGAACTGCACGTGGCATGTGTTCGGGCACCAGACCACGAGTCCTTATTTATTTATTTTTGTTTTGTTTTTGAGACAGGTGTAGCTCTGGCTGTCCTGGAACTCACAATGTAAACCAGCCTGGACTAGAACTCACAGACCTCTGCTCGTCTCTGCTTCCTGGATAAAAGGTGTGTGTCATCACGGCTGGGTTGAGTTCTTTATACAAATTTCTTTTCTTAAAAAATTGGATCCAGCTGGGCAGTGGTAGCACACGCCTTTAATCCCAGCACTCAGGAGGCAGAGGCAGGTGGATCTCTGTGAGTTCCAAGACCAGCCTGGTCTACAAGAGCTAGTTCCAGGACAGCCTCCAAAGCCACAGAGAAACCCTGTCTCCAAAAATCCCCAAAACAAAAACAAACAAAAAACTGGATCAAGAGTGACAGCTCAGCGGTTAGGAACACTTGCTGCTGCTCTCGTGGAGAGGCAGGGCTTGGTTCTCAGTGCCCACATGTTGGCTCCCCACTGTTTCTAACTCTAGTTCCAGGCTCTGGGGAATGCGGCACTCATGGGGTGCACATATACACACAGCCAAAACAACCATACACATAAGATAAAAAGGTGTGTTTTTAAAAAAATATTATGTGTGTGTGTGTGTGTGTGTGTGTGTGTCCTGGGGATTGAACTCAGGTCCTCAGGCTTGGCATCTAGCCTGCTGAACTGTCTCGTAGTAGGCCCTGCACAGATTCTTGAAGGAGTGGAGCCATAGCCTTTCGGCATTAGTCTAGCAAGATCACAGTCTTCCTCCCTTCCTCCCTCTCTCCAGATCTGCTGGCCTTGTGTGGCTTCTTTGAATGGACTCACTCCAGGGCCAGACCCCCGGAGGGCTCTCTACCAAGGTGCTACAAGTGTTTGCAGGGAAGGCTCGACTTGGTCCATACCTGCCCTCAAGAGATGGCCTGAGACCAGTCTGGAACCAGCAGGCATTTTGAAGCTACCCTCAGCCACCAGAGAAGTATCTGTGCGGAGGGTTCTTATCCCAAAAGGAAAACAAGGCTGGCTCCACGATTTCTGCTTGTTTGAACAAGCCACGATAGGGACAGCTGGGGCGGGGGTGGGGACTTTGGAAAGTAAGAGTGAAGCAGATGAGAAAAACAGCAGTAAGTGTCACAAAGAGCTGCTCATGCCTGTCAACAGTAAGCGTCTCATGGCCGGAGCTGTCTACTGGATGCAGACTCACCATAGTACTACCAGTCAGGCAAGTGGCAGACGACTATACAGCACTGTGTCCCGAGGACACCATTGTCCGCGGTCAGTTGCTGCCCAGAGCGGATCTCCCAACCTCTTGCTGGAGCCCTAGGACAAAGCAGAGCTTGAAGCAACCTGCCTGCATTTCTTGTTTCTGCCTGCGGGTGGCAAGAGCTATGAGTTAGCATTCTGTTGAGTTTGGGAATCAAAATCAATCTGTCAAAGTCACAGCCTAGAGCTTCAGGGGGCCAGATGTGGGCCCTGGCAGTAGTCTCGGGATGAAGTGGGTTTACCGGGGTCTGCTGGTGAGGATGCAAACAGAGAATGATCAAAACAATACATATTAAAAGGAGCTTTAATAAGATGCATTCACCAGCCGGCAGGTGGTAGAACATGCCTTTGGTCCTAGCACTCCACTATGGGGGCAGAGGAAGTCAGATCTCTGAGTTCGAGACCAGCCTGGTTGACAGTTTCAGGACAGCCAGGGCTATATGGGGAAACGCATCTCGAAAAACAAAACAAAAACAATTGGAGAAGGTAGAAGCCAGCACCTGCACCTCAAGTGTGTAACTTGTAGCCTCTGCTGGTCACCCACACTAGGGGTCACCCCTTCCCTACAGTTACCACAGGAAGGAAGAAAAAGATTATCTCCAGCCCTTTCCTTTTCCTTGTGTAGGTTGTTTTTAATTTAATTTATTTATTTTGGAACAGGATCCATGTAGTCTGGACTGGCCTTGAACTCCTGGTCCTCGCCGCTGCGATGGCAGGTCTGAGACGCCTTGGCGACTGATATTCCACCGCCTTCGGTGCTTCTGCGCCTGACCTTTGGAGGCCTTACCGACCAGCTAAGGCAAGCCTCACAGCCAATTTCATTAAGTCGTCTGCTCACAGAGTGACCTGCGCTAGCAGGGTCAGTCCCTTGAGCCTTGTCTCCTCCCCTTATGCCGAATACAGGCCTCACAAGCCTTCAGTTCCTTTGGCTTTTCTGACATGCATTGATTCTGAAATATTGCTTCCTTCCAGGTTTCCCAAACACAAGGTTACAGGTGTTACAGATCTGCCTGGTCATGCACATACAGACGTATGCACATGCACACACATGTACAAAAATTTGGAGAGTCACAGATATACCTGTAACTTGGGCAAGACTTTGGAAGCCTTATTTTGTGTGTGTGTGTGTGTGTGTGTGTGTGTGTGTGTGTGTGTGTGTGTGTACGTGTGTGCGTGCCAGAGAAAAACTACCTTGGTTGTCACTGTCAATAGCTGTTGACATTGCCTTTTTTGTAACAGGGCCTCTCACTGGCTTGGAGTTACCTAAGTAGGCTGCATTAGATGTCTAGCAAGCCCCAGAACCCACAGGTCTCCCTCTGTCTCCTTAGCTCTGAATTACAAATGTCAACTTCTGTCTAAGGCCTTTTTGTTCCCCATGGGTTCTGGAAACTGAACTCAGGTCCTCCAATGCTATCTCCCCAGCCCAAGTCTCAGATTTTTGTTGCAATTTTAATGGTAGAAAGTATTTCCTAAGTTTTCACAGACTGGTTCTGATGTCAAAATGGAGTTTCCCGCCTGTATTTTGAAATCCTTGTGTGAGATACTGTATGTCTGTTTTGTCGTTCTCAAATCTTTTTGTTGGTGGTGTTTTGTTTTTTGAGACAGAGTTCCTCTATTTCTGTGTAACCCTTGCTGTTCTGGAACTTGCTCTGTATGTAGACCAGGCTGGCCTGGAACTCTGCTTGGAGATCCACCTGCCTCTGCCTCCCAAGTGCTGGGATTAAAGGTGTGCAATACCTCTGCCTGGCCACTTGTTCTCAAATCTTGCCTACCTACCTGGACCTGCTCTGAAACCCCTTTAAAAACAAGACGTTTTAGGGTTGGGCATATATCTTAGTGGTAGAGACTCAATCCTCAGTATCAAATCAAAACAAATAGAACATATGCCATTGTCTCCCTTATGTTGTCTGTCACACTGTACTTTAAAATTGTTTATTTACTTACGTTTTTTGAGATAGGGTTTCACTGTGCAGCTTTACCTGACCTGTAACTTGCCAGGTAGACCAAGCTGGCCTTGAACTCACAGAGATCTGTCTGCTCTGCTTCCTGAGGGTTATGATACAAGGTGTGTGTCAATACAGCGCAGTTTTTGTTTTAGATTATAATTTAATTACAACATCTAAGACATGGTCTCTCTAAGGTTGTGGCTGTTCTGGAATTTTCTATGTAGACCAGGTTGGCCTCGAACTCAGAGATTATCCTCTGTCTGATTTTTAGGTGCTGGAATTAAAGGCGTGTATCACCATGTCTGGGACAGTACAGTTTTTGTTGTTGTTGTTGCTGCTGCTGTTTGTTTGTTTTTCAAGAAGGTTTCTCTTTTTAACTCTGGCTGCCTTGGAATTCACTTTGTGGACCAGGCTGGCCTCAAATTCACAGAGATCCTCCTGCCTCTGTCTCCTGAGTGCTGGGACTAAAAGGCATGCGCCACCACCACCACCCGGCGACAGTGTGACTTTTAATAGATGATCCGTTTGTATCAGTGAGTGAACAGTTTATCTCAGTAGGGCTTTTTGGTAAAATGCATCTAGCATTCTGTGGATACCTTATAATCTGTACCCGTGACCAGTCTCCCGTGGTTTTACAATTAGCCTCCTTATAAGCAGTCCCTCCCTCCAGGGTGAAGACACACCTCTGCCTCACCACACCAGCAGGAGTGAAGGGAGACAGACTCGGGGCCTACTGCCTTCTGGGTGACATGCCTTCACAGGTTGGCAATGGCCTCTGACCTAGCCTGCCTTTGAGCCTGCTCTGTTTAGGTGTAAGGGCCAGGTTAATCGGTTAAGCGGACTGTGGCTGTGAGTGGTAGTGTGGGCTGCACAGCCCTCAGAGCTTTTGCGGGGTAGGTTGGGGAGGGCTCCAGACATCTCCCGAGCTCTCCTTGAGAGTGGGAGGGAGACTCCAGACCCACAAGGGCCTTTTTGAGCTGAGACGGTGCGCTCAGATTATCGTTTAGTTACCCTTGTTTCACTCGAGTATGAGACGGAGGCTTCCATTGTCTGCAGGCCCATACGTCACAGCATACCTTTTCTCAGGATGCATCTGCGGGCCTTGAAGCTGGGGCCAGAACCACTACTCTGCACAATCAAGTCTCCTCCCTAATGGATGCTGGGGGTAAAAAAATACACACACACACACACACACACACACACACACACACACACACACACACACACACACACACGCTCCTATCCCCTGCATCTTGCCATCCCATAGTGCCACCCAGTGGACAGGGAGTGCTATAACAACAAGAAGGTCTCAGAAGCCCCTACAGGCCATTGACTGAGTCTCCCCCAGAGCCCTTGGTGGCTGCTAGCACAGTCCACACCCCTGGGTTCTAAAATCTACCATTTCCCTCTGAGTCTCTATCCCTGACTCTTGCAAAAATTCTGGATTTGGAGCAAGATGAGTCTTGCAAAGATTCAAGGCTTTATAGACAAGGACTTTGGCAGGGAGGAATGGGGGACAGTTGTCCAGGCCCTGAAATCCCAGTTCTCGGCCACTGGGGTTGGTGGAGTTTTCTAGAATGTCTGGAAGGGCCTGAGCCTGGCAATGAGCCCCACCTTCAGCACCCAGAGATGTGTGAAAACAAAGCAGTTTCTGCTGCCCTCCCCAGGGTCACATGAGCATCTCTGCAGCCCGGGGCCTTGATTCACACCCTTCCCCTGGTTGACTCCCTACATCTCTCTCTGCAGCAGGACTGTGCCAGCATGGTTTCAGAGCACAGAGCTGGAGGGGAGCGCTTGAGCAAGCTTGTCATCTACCTTCCGTTCTTCATGACATGACTGAGACAAGCCCACACAGCTACCGAATACAAGCAATATGTCCCCAGAGAGGACACAGTGACATGGTGTGATAGTTCTGGTAGTCTGGGCTAGTCTGGGAGTCCTGGCATGTGTCTAAGCTGGGTAGCCCATGGTCCATTCCTTCTGGTGTCCCAGGTGAGGGTAGGCAGTGTTTCTATGATGTCTTTGCTTGGTTTCTCCTATCAAAGAATGCTGGAATCTTTTTGTTTGTTTGAGACAGGGTCCTAGAACTCTCTTTGTAGACCAGGCTGGCTTCAAACTCACAGAGATCCACCTGCCTCTACCTCCTGGAGTTCTGGGGGGATTAAAGACTTGCACCGCCTGCTGTCGACACCTGGCAACCCTACCCACTTCTATCTCCAGGGTTTGAATCCACTCCTGTAGGCCTACTGTGTGACTTTGTTTGCTTAATCTCTCTGTGCCTCCATTTCCCATCTGTATAAAGGCTGTGTCGTGTGGATTGTACAAAGATTCAATGTGCTGAGACAAGGAAAGGGCTAGAACATTCCCTTTCTGCAGTCTCCACTGCTAGCTGGTATCTAAGAATCGCTTCCCCGCCCCCACAGAAGGGAGTACATGGAGGGCGTCCTTCCCTGTGGCCCCAGTGTATGGGTCAAGCTGTGCTGCCATAACAAAATATTTTGAACTGGGAGGTTGAAAGGAGCCTGGGAGTCTGCGATGCAGGACAATTTCCTGACTCACAGACGCTCCTCTTCTGCCATGTGCCTACATGGCTTTTCCTCCTGCATGCATGGGGTTGGGGAGGGGTTAATGCACTCTCTTCTTAATGATGCCATTAACTTGCCTATGACTTCATCCGACCTTAATTCCCTCCCAGAGACCTTGCCTTCAAGTACAGTCACATTGTGGGTTGAGGCTTCAACATTCGAAGCCTGGGCTGGGGCTGTAGCTCAGCTGGTGAGTATTTGCCTGGTGTGCAAGCAGCCCTAGGTTCGATGCTCACCATCACAACTCCCAGCATCCCATGAACCAGGCATGGCTGTGCACACCTGTCATCCCAGCCCTGGACGTGAGACGATCGGAAACTCACGGCCACCCGCAGTTCTATAAGGAGTCGGAGGCCAGCCTGGGGTACACGAGACTGTTTTAAAAACAAAATTAGTGCCATCAAAACAGTTCCAGGAAGCCGGGCGGTGGTGGCACACGCCTTTAATCCCAGCACTTGGGAGGCAGAGGCAGGCGGATCTCTGCGAGTTTGAGGCCAGGCTGGACCGACAGCCTCCAAAACAATACAGAGAAACCCTGTCTCGTAAAAACAAAAACAAAAACAAAAAAAATGGTTCCAGGGGTAAAAGCATTGGCAGTCAAGCCTGACAACTTTTGTGGAGCCCACGTGGTATGAGAGAACCGGCTTCAGCAGGTTGTCATCTGACACGCACATACTAATTAACCAAGTAAGTAGATTTAAAAAATCTAAATGCAAAAACAAAAGAACCCAATCAAAACTGTAGACAAAAACCCCAAACATGAATTTTGGAGTAATGCCAACCAGTCACCCCACAGGAAGGAGAGAAGAACCCTGGGGCCAACCATGACGGGAACACCCACATCCTTCCTGGCCTTATAGCTTGAGGCAGTGGAAGGATGATGCCAACTAGATGTGCATCTACAGGGCCTGATGGGCTGGGCATAAACGCCCGCACCGCAGGCAGCCCGCATCGCAGGCCCACTGTCGGTGGATGCAGATCTCCCCTGATAGGGCGGAATTGGGTGCAGAGCCCATGCTGGTAAGCGTCTGAGGTCTGCCTGTTCCACCTCTTCTCCAAACTGGGGTTATTCGCCATGTGTTTTGTTTTGCGCATTCCGTCTTTGGGCTAATAAACTCTCCCAAACATGACTTTAGTCTTTTACAGTTCTGGGTGGTGACTTGTGTCTCCCAAAGGCATATGATTTTTTATTTTTATTTTGGTTTTTCAAGACAGGGTTTCTCTGTCCTGGGTGTTCTGGAACTCACTCTGTAGACCAGGCTGTCTTCGAACTCATAGAGATCCATTTGCCTCTGCTTCTGGAGTGATGGATTTAAAGGTGTGTGATACCACTGCCCGGCTTCATGCACCATAGCCTTGGTCCTTCCAGTCACTGGAGATGTGACTTT